CTTTTAACAGTATCCTTTCAATTGTGTGTTTGTTTTCTATTTCAATACTTCCTGTTTTTACTTTTATTATTTCCTTTTATCTACTTAAATTGCTTTTCTTTTCCTAAGTTTTAAAGATGAATGCTTAAAAAAAAAAAATAAATAAAGATGGATGCTTAGCTCATTGAATTTAAGCATTTCTTCTTTTCTGAGATGGTAGTTAAAGTTATGCATTTTCCTGTAAAAAACACTTACCTTGCATTCCATGAGTTTTGATGTGTAGTACTTTTTAATCATTTTGTTAAAATTTTCATTATGATGTCTGCACTGACCCATCAGTTTTTCCAGAAGTATATTGCTTAATTTTCAAATGTATGGAGATCTCCTAGCTATATTTTTGTTATTAATTTCTAGCGTTCATTGAGTTCATAGTTTATATAAATTCTAACCCTTTAAAAGTTGTCAGCATTGCTCTTTGGCACTGTATATAGTAAATTTTTGTAAGTGTTCACTGAGTGCTTCAAATTAATGTTTATTAATATAGTTTTTGCATTCATTGTCCTATATATGTCCATTATGCCAAGTTTGTTAAATGTTTTAATCTTATATGCTCTTACTGGGATGTTTTTGGTCTACCTGTTTTATAAATTCTGAGAGAGATGTATTAAAATCTCCCACTATAAATGTAAATTTTTGTTTCTCCTTCAATTATGTCTACTTTTGTTTTTGCATTCTGAAGTTATATCAGTAAATGAACACAAATTTATATGTATATTTTGTTGGTGAATTGAGTCATTTATTATTACTAAATGCGCCTCTTTATTTATCTCTTTGTCTACTTTATTGATATAATATAGCTACACTCATTTTCTTTTGGTTAGTATTTGAATGTTTTATCTTTTGCATTTCATGTTCTACTTTTCTGTATCTTATATTTTCAGTGTGTCTCTTTAAATAGCATAAAGTTGGGTTTTGTTTCTTGATCCCATCTGAAAAACTTTAGCATTTCTGAATTATAAAGTTGGACAATGTTTGTTTGTTCAATGGAGCATTTAGTCCATTTTTATTTATGAATAATTTAGACGTTGGCTTTAAAACTATCATCCTACTATGTCTTTTTTTATTGTCCAACCAATTCTATGTTCTTTCTTTTTTCTTTCTGGTTTTTTTGTGGATTGATTACTTTTGGTTATTCCTATTTTGGCTTTCCTATTTTAGTTTTGAACATGCGTACTCTTACTATTTGTCAGTGGCTTCCCAGAAAACAACAGGAACTCTTGGCTTATCATACGAGTATGTTAATTAGCTACTTTTACTGTTCTCCCAGACAATGCAAAGACCTCATCACTTTTACTCCATTTATTCCCTTTCTCACTTGAATGTTATTTTTGCTTGCATTTCTGTTTAGCTTTTTCATTTCCACAATACGTTATTAATATTGTCTTATGGGGCACCTGGGTGGCTCAGTTGGTTAAGCATTCAATTTCGGCTCAGGTCATGATCTCAAGGTTTACTAGTTCAGGCCCTGCCTTGGGCTCTGTGATGACAGCTCAGAGCCTGGAGTCTGCTTCAAATTCTATGTCTCCCTCTCTCTCTGTCCCTCCCTCGTTCATGCTCTGTCTGTCTGTCTGTCTGTCTCTCTCTCAAAAATAAATAAACATTAAAAAATTTTTAAATAAAATTCAAAATAAAATATTGTCTTACATAGTCAGTGTTTACTTAGAATTGTGCATATGTTTACCATTTTTGTTGTTCTTTATTCATTTTTGCATCCCCAGCTTTCCCTCTGGGATCAAATTCCTTCAGCTTGAAAAAACCTCTTCATTTAGGGCAGGACACATGTTGGCAAATTCTCTGTTTTAGTTTGTCTGAAAATTCTGTCTCATATTTATTCTTGGAGTCAGTGGGGAAGAAATGACATATATTTTAATTTCAAAAATGGATAAATTCCTAAGTGTGCTTTTTAGGACCATGTGAGGAGAAATGATAGGAAGGCTAAGAACCGAGAAAATGCTTGACTACACAGGTATCTCCCTTATACTGTCTTGCATTTGTCACCTCATTGGCTATACTGCATGAAATCCCACTGGTGACTTCTATTTAGCTTACCAGATCCCTCTCTTAAAGCAGCAAAATCCGTAGCAGTGTGAAGAGGCCAAAGCATGAATGCCTACTTAGTTTAACTAGGCTTTTCTGTCTCTTTATGGGACCCAGGCTTACTCAAAACATAAAATTGTTCACGGAAGGAGGAGAAAATCCAGTAATTTGGAAGAATTCTCCCAAAATCATGTTAGGAAGGGTCACAAAATAGACAGTTCAGGAGAGCCTGGAAACATTAGCCCTACTAGTGCACGTCAAAGGCAAAGGTCAACTCCATTGCACTCAGACCAAGGAGGGCAGAGCTGTTGGTTCTGTTCAAACTTGAGATGTGAGTCCCTAGGAATATAGCTTTAGAGCCTCTTGAACACACAGGTTGTTTACCTCCAATGACCCAGGTCTCCTGAGAACTTGTCCTGCACTCCCACGTGGGCAGTACCTCCGGAGCGCTGACGTCATCCTCACAGGCATTATCACATTTCTCTTAGGGCAGCTGTGGAGAGCAGGGCAGGCCCTGAGAACAGAGAGACACAGTAACAGGCTCCAAGCAAGCTGATATATTTTATCTTGAAAATGTCCTTTGCCAAAACCAGCTCCTATTCATACACCGTGCCCATTATCTGAAAACCGGGCCACTGGGAGGTAGGTGCAGAGAGGGCGATAGCTATATTGTTTCTTTCCTTTGGCTCTTGGAATGACCTGATGTTGCAGATCCCATGGCACCTTAGAGAAAGGGAGGGGGGGAAGGGAGAGCCGGTCAAGTACAGCACACATCCATGAGAGGCAGTGGTGCCAGGGTTAAGAGCTCAGACTCTGGTCTGTTTTAACAGCTCTGGCAACAAAGGGTCCAGAGGATGAAGGAATTAACCAGCCCCACTTCCCCGATGGCAATGCTGGGGGCACATAGCCCCACGAAAGGGAGCAGGATCTGGGTACTAGGAGAGGACCCTGGCCAGGCTGCCCGCAGACTCTACCTCATGTTGCAAGCCCCCTGGGGGAGAAAGGCAGACCAGTCAGACCTAGGAGGGAGCCTCCTCCCCACACTGAACATTGCACTCTGGCACCTTCAAAGCACCCTGGGAGCCTAGAATAAAAAGAGAACACAGCTGTTAGAGCAGGGACGTCTCACGGGCCCTGACCTAAGCTCTCAGTTGAAAAATACGAGAAAATAAAAAGATCAGCTTACCCCCTGATTTATCCGAGAGGGAAAAAGTAAAAATAAAAAATAAAGCATTGTATTCATTTACTTTCATGTTTCAGAACATAGGAAATACCGGTTAAATTCCACTAGTAATAAATAAAATTCTTCCATTCTATTAGACTCGGTCAAAAAACGAATCTTCAATGGTGGGATTGCAAGTATTAGCAGGTGTACGGGGGACATTTGAGGGAGTTGGTGAGCCCATCCAATGCTCTAGGCTACCTCCATGAGGACCCTTGGCCCCCCAGTTTGGGCTAGAACTGAGGATTGAGCCTTCTGGTTCCTACTCCATGTCAGAGTCTCCCATCCTTTTTCCCAGCCCCTGACCAAAGTCTTGGTGCCTTCTAGACCTTCCAGACCCTCTGGTCCCTCCCAGACCTTAGGTCTCTTCCTAAGACCCAGACTCCTCCGGCCACCCTAAGGTTCTTCCTGCTCAGACCACAGTGGGTCAGCGTGCCCTTGTCCTGCACCCCCTGGCCAGGGTTCACAGGCTCCAGGTGCCACCGGGCTGGCCTCATGCCCTCTGTCCACCTGCCACCTGACTCTCAGAGATGTTTTTTGTCCATAACTATAATAGCATGTGTTAATATGCTTGATAAACACAGATTTTTGGCTTTCTCCATTCTAGATTTAAAAAATAGATTAAAATCTGGGGCGCCTGGGTGGCTCAGTCGGTTAAGCATCCGACTTCAGCTCAGGTCGTGATCTCACGGTTTGTGAGCTCGAACCCTGCATCGGGCTCTGCCCCTGGAGCCTGCTTCAGATTCTGTGTCTCCTTCTCTCTCTGCCCCTTCCCCACTCATGCTCTGTCTCTCTCTCTGTCTCTCTCTCTCTGTCTCTCTCTCTCTCTCTCTCTCAAAAATAAACAAATGTAAAAAAAGTTTTTTAAAAATCTTAAAATCTAAGAAACATTTTATGGAAGTATAACATACACACACAAAGTACACAGATTAAAGTGGGCAACCCACTAAGTTGTCACAAAGTGAGTGTAACCATCATCCAGCCCAAGACATAGAACAGGAAGCCACAGATAAACCCACCGCTAAACATGGTTTTGGAAATCTTGCCACAGGCCAGGTGGAATTGAGTGTCAAGCCCCTGTGCTATGTATTCTCCTACTTCTCATCTGACACGACCTGAAAGGTTTTAAAAATCTTGTACAGTTATGTCTTTTGCAGTGATCTGACTGCACAGAGATCTTGTCTCACAGCAGACTGAAGATTTCAAGAGGGCAGGATCCCAGGTATCTGTTAGGTCCTCTGTAGGTAGAGTTTGAATAATCGAACAAATCTAGCCCTGGGCATGCAAGTGTCCCAAGCCCAAATCAGAGGCCATTAGGCATTATCTGTCCTCTGTAGATGTCACAGGAGGACAATTGACCAGGGTCCCTACTCAGGCACTAGAGCATTATTCCCTTGACCCTACAGAGATAACCCTGGGATGTAGAAAGTAGTAATCCAGTTCATCAATTCATGCAACAAGCATGGGTTAAACATTCTCTTTGGCCCAGGAAAGGCAACATAGGGCAGACACAGTCCCTGCCCTCAGGAAGAAAGCTGAGGCACCCAACATGTCAGGAAGTAGCAAGAAAAAAACCCTCATAGAATTCGAGCCACTGCCTCACCCCTTCTCCAGTCAGGCTACCCCCAGGAAGGGGGTTGGGGTTGGTGACCCAGTCGTAGATAGAAATGTACCTTCACCAGATGTCTTTGCTCTTCTGCAGGCCCTGCTATCCCGGTGGGTGTGGACGTGCAGGTGGAGAGCCTGGATAGCATCTCGGAAGTGGACATGGTACTCAGGGCCCTTGGTGGGGCAGCCTCTGGTGCGGAGTCCTGGGGTTAAGGTTCTGTGAGCACCCGTGGCTGGTGGGGCTGCATGGGTGCAGGCTGTCCCCTGGTTGGTGGAGCAGGGGCCGCAGGAAATAAAACGGGGACTCACTCAGTTGGCTCAAGTGCACTGAAGCCTAGAGCAGAGATTCTCAACTTGATGGGTAAAAGTAACTTGGGGAGTTGGTTAAGTGCACATTCCTGGACCCCACCCTGGACTTCCTGAACGAGAGTTTCTGGGAGTGGGACCCAGCACGTTATATTTTGAACACACTCCTCAAGTGATGTGACTGGTGAGATGAACCACACGTGGAGGAGCACGGGAGGTGGACATTTTCGGACAGAAATTCTGCAGTTTCTGCTCTCCAGTGCCTGCCTTGAGCATCGCTCCCCTATGCATTCCTTGGCAGGGTCCACCGAGGCCAGGTGGTAAGGGAGGGCTCTTTGGAGAAGCCTCGTTTCAGCTAAGACTTGAGGGGTAAGAAGTAGACAGTGAGGGGAGCGCCAGAGCAAGAGCAGGAAAAAGGCCCCTGAGGCAGAAGAAACAGGTTTACAAACATAAACTAAAACAGTGCAGCACAAAAGGAGGAAGAGGTGGGAGTAGAGGAATGGGCAGGTAGGGTGCTCCCTTCCAGCCTAAGATGTATAGGTGTGCTGCAGGACAGCCAGAAGATGTGTAGGTGTGCTGGTAAAGTAGAAGTTTGTGGGCACTAATGCTCTGAGACCACCACCACTAGGTGTCTTTCCATCCTTGCTCCCAGAAGAGGGTGTTGGAGGGCACTTATTTACTTATTTGCACTTATAACTTAGCACTCACATCTTCTGGCTGCGGCAGAAGGGTCAGAGTCTTGGTCTAGGCATCAACTATGCAGGCAAGGAGACACTGTTTGGCAGAATGAGCTTTGAGGATGAAATTATAGCAGATATGCAGCTGTCCAACCCTTCATCCATTCATTCCTATGCCCCCCATTTTTCCATCCCGCAAATATCTATTGAGCGCCTACTCTGTGCCCTGCCAGGCACTGAGTTAGGGCTTAGGGATTCAATGGTGGGCAGGACACACTTCTGCCTTCAAAGATTCTACAAGACCAATGATAGAAACTCTCTTAAACGGTTTCTATCATTGACTGTACAGGTTTCTCCAAGTGTGTGCTAACTTGAAACTGAATGCTTAGCCAATAGGTAAGGAGCCCTGTGTGCACAAGTCGAGGTGAGAGAGAGAAGGACTTTGGGGAAATCCCGCCCTGCTGGCCCCCATGCCAGGCTGTCTGCCTTACAGCTGCGGGTTTCATTTGCAAAGCCTGAAGGATAGGCTGCTCAATTTCCTGGGCTCCAACCTCATGATGCACTATGAACCATTCTCTTTCCTACCATTTCCTAGCAGCACCATTGTTGCGGCCACTGTCCTACAGGGCTGCAGAACTGTCACCTCCAACTCTGGAAGCTGAGTCTGAGGTGTCTGTTACATTGGTTGATGATGAGTTGGCTGTAAGAAAGGAAGGTTTCTGGGGCGCCTGGGTGGCTCAGTCGGTTGAGTGTCCAACTTCGGCTCAGGTAATGATCTCACGATTCATGGGTTCAAGCCCCGTGTCAGGATCTGTACTGACAGCTCAGAGCCTGAAGCCTGCTTCAGAGTCTATGTCTCCTTCTCTCTCTCCCCCTCCCCTGCTCATGCTCTGTCTGCTTCTTCTCTCAACAATAAATAAATGTTAAAAAAAAAAAAAAGAAAGGAAGCTTTCTAAGCATTTCTGTTTGGTGTCATCTTGGGCTTCCATAGGACTTCACCATGACCCTGTACCTGCGGCATTACTGGAAGGATGAGAGGCTGGCTTTTCCCAGCACCAACAACAAGAGCATGACCTTTGATGGCCGGCTGGTAAAGAAGATCTGGGTCCCCGATGTCTTCTTTGTTCATTCCAAAAGGTCATTCACCCATGACACCACCACTGACAACATCATGCTGAGAGTGTTTCCAGATGGGCACGTGCTGTACAGCATGAGGTAAATGCCCATGGGGTCACTGTTTCTTTGTCTAATGCCATTCTACTATGTATGATCAGTCTCTTTGGCCCTGAAGAGTTTATCGCTGTGGTTGGGCCTGTGGGCTATACAGATGGTCCAAGTCTCCTGACGCCTGTTAGAACTTTCTAAAGATGAAATGATCACCCTAGTAGCCAGCGACTTCCCGTCATCTGGGATCTTAAACTCAGGCTAGGAGACTAGTTAGGCTCGAATGAGTTTGGGGAATCAATGCCCTTCTAGATACCTTCCACCCCTGAGAGCCTATGATTCTAGTTTGTTGGTAATAAAGATTAAAAAAGGTAACAATAGGGGTGCCTGGGTGGCTCAATCAGTTATGGGTCAGACAGGGTCAGGTCATGATCTCACAGTCCATGAGTTCCGGCCCCGTGTCGGGCTCTGTGCTGACAGCTGAGAGCCTGGAGCCTGCTTCTGATTTTGTGTCTCCCTCTCTCTCTCTGCCTCTCCCCTGCTCCTGCTCACTCTCTCTCTCTCTCTCTCTCTCTCTCTCTCTCAAAAATAAATAAACATTAAAAAAAAAGGTAACAATAGCTACTGTTTATTGAGTGCTATTGCAGATTGCCTTGTGGACTAATGAGTGTTACACAGGCTTATTCCACATCTTCTTGGCCTGCTTGTATGCTTCACCAGAATTCAATGCTAATAGCCTTGGGGTGGTGGAGGGTGGGGGGAGGGCATAACCACCCAGGCATCCTTGAGGGAGGCAGCCCGCTGGCTGAGGGCAATGCCCAGAGAAGGGTGCAGATGTGGGCCACTGACGGCCAACACCCTCAGTAGCCGGGACCTGGGCCATGTCTTATGGAAGGACAGAACTCTAAAAGTTAGGGTCCTGCAACTTAGATACTGGGATTTCCAAACTGCTGAAGTAGACATGAGGAGGCAGCTGCTCTTGGTCATGCCAATAACTCACTGCATGAGCCAATATGCTCTTTTGGGTTGCCTAGGATTACAGTCACTGCCATGTGCAACATGGACTTCAGCCACTTTCCCCTGGACTCCCAGACCTGTTCTTTGGAGCTGGAAAGCTGTAAGTATCCATATTCTTAATGACAGATCTTTGCCTCTTCCCCTGTCCAATCCTTGTGCCATTTTAGTAACGTGAGACCACATACTGCCTGCCAGTGTTAAGACCTGTTCTCACCGAAGCTGGTGTAGGATTTCCCTGTTGTTTCAGCCTGCGTCAGAATCAAAGGAGTCAAATTAACTTATTTTCCTCTCCCCAAAGATGCATATACAGATGAAGATCTGATGCTGTATTGGAAGAATGGGGATGAATCCCTGAAAACAGATGAGAAGATCTCCCTGTCTCAGTTTCTGATTCAGAAATTTCACACCACTTCCAGACTGGCCTTCTACAGCAGCACTGGTAGCTAATGTTTGCCCTGGTCTAATTCAGATGTGGAAGAAAATACATGAGAATTCTCCAACCTTAAACTTTTCCCTTTCTAATGAAAATGAATTTGCATTATTAAATAACGCATAGTTCTACCAAACATTAGCAGCACTTAAAAGCAGAGTTTTAAAAAGTTGCTGTCATGTCTCTCATGGCCAGAGGCAACCACTCCTAACGAAGTGGAACACACCCTTGCAAACATCCTGCTTTAATTATGTAATTGCACAGTTGTGGGGTCATGCTTTACATGCTGTTCGGTAATCTAGTTTATTTGACTTAATGCTACAGATGATAGCTTTCCGAGGAAATGTATTTATTACTTATATTTCAATCTATAGATTTATTTTTAATGTTTGGTGTAACTCATCCTGGACCCTGGGCTGTGTCTGAAGTGTTGAGAGGATGCACTTGTCAGTCCCTTTCTAATCTCACTGTGAGCTCTTGTGGTAGTTTTCAGAGGGCTGTCATAATAAAGTACCATGGTCTGGGTGCCTGAAACAACTGGAAGGTATTTGCCACAGTTCTGGAGGCCAGAAGTCTGCAGGCCATGCACCTCCCTTAGGCTCTAGGGGAGGAACCTTTCCTTGCCTCTTACTAGTTTCTGGTGGGTGCTGCATTCCTCTGATGTCGGCTTCTGTTATCATATGGCATTCTCCCTGCGTCCCTCTCTGTGTCTTCACATGCTGCTGTTTCTGGGTCTCCCTGTCCACACTTCCCTCTTCTCTGAGGACACCAGTTGTTGGATTATGGCCCACCCTAATCCAGTATGACCTCGTCTCATCTTGATTCCATGTACAAAGACTCTATTTCTTTTTTTTTTTTTTAATTTTTTTTTTCAACGTTTTTATTTATTTTTGGGACAGAGAGAGACAGAGCATGAACAAGGGAGGGGCAGAGAGAGAGGGAGACACAGAATCGGAAACAGGCTCCAGGCTCTGAGCCATCAGCCCAGAGCCTGACGCGGGGCTCGAACTCACGGACTGCAAGATCGTGACCTGGCTGAAGTCGGACGCTTAACTGACTGCGCCACCCAGGCGCCCCCAAAGACTCTATTTCTAAATAAGCTCGCATAGTGGGAGTTAGGACTTGGACATATCCCAATTCAACCCACGATAGCCCTGTGGTAGCTACAGGACCCTAGAGGTCTTCTCACTTAATGACTCTTGGTGTATTGGGAAGCCCAGGCTCTTCTGTGGAAAGCTTTTGTTCTACTTTCTGCCCCCACATGGCCACCATCTCCCTGTTCATCTGCCCCCCACACACCCCTCTGTCCCCAACATCAAACGTGGAGAAAGTTCGAGCCTCAGTCAAGGTTGTGTTAGTGTTTAGACAGCTCAAGCTTTCTTCACTTTATGCCCACAGTGCTTGTCCTCATCCCTTTCTTCCCTTTTCTGTCGATATGTATGTCCACAGAATTTTCTCTTCTCATATCTTCTTGGTAAGTTCAAACCAACTCTCTTTCTAAGACCAATTTTAAGAATGTCTTACATAACTTTTTATTATGTGCCACTGTTTTTTAAAAATATTTTTTCTTTTTTTATTGAGGGACAGAGCGTGTGCATGCACGCACCCTCATGCACAAGTAGGGGAGAGGCAGAGAGAGAAGGAGACAGAGAATCCCAAGCAGGATCTGTGCTGTCAGCGTATGGCCTGATGTAGGGTTCCATCCCACAAACGATGAGATCATGACCTGAGCCAAAATCAAGAGTCAGACACTCAACAGACTGAACCACCCATGCTCCCTTTTATTTCTTTATTTTAGAAAGACAGAGAGAGCATGAGTGGGGGAAAGAGGAAAGAGGGGGAGAGAGAGAGAGAGAGAGAGAGAGAGAGAGAGAGAGAGAATCTTAAGCAGACTCCACGCTCAGCATGGAGCCCAACATGGGATTTGATCCTAGAACCCTGGGATCATGGCCTGAACTGAGATCTGGAGTTGGGAGCCCAAAGGACTGAGCCACCCAAGCACCCCCAGAGTATACATTTTTAAGGATCCTGGTTTCTTCCTAGTGTTTCCAAGGCAACTCTCCCTGATTTTCTTCCAAGGAAAGGATAGTGGAATAGTCCTTAGCAAAATGAGGGCAACTCTCAGCCTTTCCAGAAAAACCCTGTGCAAACCTAAGGAACAATGTGATTTGCTTCATGGGTGCCAATTTAAGTGTGGAAAATCTGACATGACTGGGTAAGCGCTGTGGTATGAATAAAGGATTGGGAGTTTCTGTCATAGTTGAAGATTACTTTCTATTTATCCACTCCACTGAAAGCACCTACCTCATTGAAATAACCCAGGAACTTACACAGTAAACCATGTGCCAAGCTTCTAATGGACCCATCCTATTGTTCCAGCCTTTCCCTATTGATCCACCCCTTCCTTTCCCTGACTCAGTACTAACTTTCCATGCCAGCCAGTTGGGCTTTGTCCCCTTCCTCAGCAGCATTTTTCTGGGTGCAGCCTGAGGTCCTCCTGCATCCAAACCATCAGGGCAGTGTGCTTGACAAACAGATTTCTGGGCCCTCTTGCAAGCTACTGAGTCAGCATCCCAGGCTGGGCTGAGATGGGAGTGGGGTAGGTGTGTGCACACAGTTTCAGTCCACTTTATACATTTATACTGTCCTTGCCACCATCTGTGGTCCCAGTGATTGGGTATCGATTTTGTGGATCATTTGAAGCCTTACCATTTTAGTCCTTGTTTACAACCACTCATCTTGTGATGTATGTGGAGGTTGGCTCAGCTGATAATCTACAACAAAGGGAATAGTGATAAGATCCCAGCTCTGCGGGCTCCTGCCTCTCTGGTATTGGAATCAATAAAATAGAACCAGTCCCCCTGTCTTAGGTTCCTGAGTTGTGAGTCCTCAGGAAATATGGTCCTGGTTTGCAAATAACAAATACCCAACAAGCAGCTAAACATAGATCTCTCTTTCTACCTTTTCCCAAAGTGCTGTGGAGAGAAATTAGGTAACATTGAATAAATAAATGTGTTTATAGGAGGGAGGGCTTTGATTTTAGAAAGGGGATATATTCTATTAAGTCAATGATCATTCACTTTGAACTTTCTGCTGGAGATGAGAGCAATATGGGGGAACCCAGGGAAGGAGTTTGTTTTTGCCTCTCTCACTGAACCTCACGCGCTTCCTCCTGTGTCCCCCAGGCTGGTACAACCGTCTATACATTAACTTCACGTTGCGACGCCACATCTTCTTCTTCTTGCTCCAAACCTATTTCCCTGCCACCCTGATGGTCATGCTGTCCTGGGTGTCCTTCTGGATCGACCGCAGAGCTGTGCCCGCCAGAGTTTCACTGGGTAAAAGCATGTAATAAGGTGTGATAGGGTGGTTATTTTTTCATAACTGATCACTATAAAAAGAAAAAGTAGGGGCGCCTGGGTGGTTCAGTCGGTTGAGCATCCGACTTCAGCTCCGGTCAATATCTCGCAGGTGACGAGTTCAAGCTCTGCGTCGGGCTCTGACAGCTCAGAGCCTGGAGCTGCTTCCGATTCTGTGTCTCCCTCTCTCTCTGCCTCTCCCCCACCCATGCTCTCTCTCTCTGTGTCTCAAAAATAAAGATAGACAGTAAAAAAAAAAAAAATTTTTTTTAAAAGAAAGAAAAAGTAAAATCATTATTCAGAGTTCTTAACTGATTGGCTGCCAGAGCCAAAAGGAGCAGACTTTCCTCCTGCTCCTTGCCCTCACTGTTCCCACACTGCTCTCAGCTTTCTAGACTATTTTATGAAAACCACAGGGAGCTACAACTGCATCAGCTTTGCTCGAGTCATTTCAGAAGGAAAAAGCTTGTCTGGGGAATAGATGTCCACTACCAGCAGTCTTAGAGCTCACTACGTCGATGAATAAGACAATTCTGCAAATGCCAAAAACTTATTTTGTAAATACAAGAATTTTGTTTGCTGGCCTTGTTTGCATAGAGTGAGAGTTTGAAAGCAGGGCCTGTATCAGGAGACTTGGGGGGAAGGAAAGGGCTGTATGCCCTGGAGTTGTGGTTTTAGTCCTTGCAGACCCTAAATTCCAGAGTGAACCGTAACAGCTCATCGTTGTCAATCTGGACAAAATCAGGCTGGGCTCCCAGAAATGTGAGGGTTTAACCTGCAAGGCACAGGGAGCAAGAAACTAGCATGCAGGCTTCCGGGAATTTCCACAGTCTTCAGAGACTTAACATGGCCCAGAGAGAGAATGAGGCCATTCCTTGTGGTGTGGGAAGTTTCCTTTAGTGGTGTCCTTTACTCACTGTTTCAAATTCCACATCTGGATGGGTCCTCCGTGAAGCCCTGCTGATGCGGTCAGCCATATCGCAGAGACCCAGTCCCCCAAGGGGCGTAGAATGAAAGAGGACCAGCAGTGAGCTGGCCAGGAGGGGGCCTGCCTGCTGCCTGTGGGGCAGATCCTCAGCATGGATGTTTCCATGCCCCGGGGGTTTCTCGTTAGATTTAAGAGATGGAGAATATAACACGGTGACTCAGTGGACTGTGGGAGCAGTTCTGTACCCTTGTTGGCGGCTGAACTAGAGCTGGATGTTGCAGGTATCACCACCGTGCTGACCATGTCCACCATCATCACGGGCGTGAACGCCTCCATGCCCCGCGTGTCCTACATCAAGGCGGTGGACATCTACCTCTGGGTCAGCTTTGTGTTCGTGTTCCTCTCGGTGCTGGAGTATGCAGCTGTCAACTACCTGACCACGGTGCAGGAGCGGAAGGAGCGGAAGCTCCGGGAAAAGGCGAGACAAGTTTCATTCACTTCCTGTCCTAGCTCAAGCTACTGGTTGGATGAGAATGGCAGGAAGGAGGGTTGTGTGTAGAAAAGGGTGATGTTTATGCAAAAGGAGGGAGATCTATTTTAGAGTAGGTTCTAGCTTCTACCACAAAGGATCCCAGACAGCAGAAAGTCTTTGGATCAAGACTAGGAACAGGAAGACTTGGATCCTTAGGTCCAACTCTGCTACTTATACTGGGCTTCCGTTTCCTCATCTGTAAAAATGGTATAGCTGAACCCTCACCTCGCCTTCCTCCCAGGGTTATTGTAAAGATCTCATGAAGTAATGTATATAAAAATTATTTTGAAGCTGTGGGGTTCTAGAGTATCTAGTATAGTATAGTATCTAAAGTGTCACTGTTACTATTGAACATGTTTAGGGAAGGTGCCTCCATGTCCTATGACCAGACAAGGAGAGTTCTAGAGTTGAACATTCCTGTGTTTATCTGCGCTCTCACCCAGTGAAAATTCAGCCACATACACCTTTAGCCTTTAGACTCACTGGAAATACTATGCTATATACACTGCACTGCAGTATATTAACCCGTAGCATGAGATACAGTGGAAATGAGGAATTCGGGCAATGTGCATAGGCCTTTGGCACAGGGAGGGAAAGTCAATTCCTTTCGTATTCAGAGTCTCATTAATCGCAGTAAGAAATAAAATGTCAACTTGTTAACCAAATCATTGCTCATCATCGCGCCAATCGAAATGGGCATTCTCCTAAAAGGTATAAAGATCAGGGGATATGAAAATCCCACATTTATGCACATCTAGGTGGCTAATAGCTCCTTAACATAAGGGACTTTTAAATTTTAGGAAAAGAGGATGTGTTACCTTTTCAAAAATAGTCTTTCAATGCCCACATCATACGTGTTAAATATTTCTACACTGCCTCCAAATAGGCTAAATTGTTTAAGAATTTATTTTTAAAATTCTATTCAAACCTTTTCTACTTTAGCATTTGAGTGGTATGCACTCAGATTTTCAATAATCTGCTCATCGGTCATTGTCAAATGATTTTGGATTATATTTAAACATTTTTGATTTATAGTCAAATGAACTTTCCCATATAGAGCTGTTGAAAAAAATAACAAGCCTTCACCTGACAAATATGGGCTCATGAATTATTGAATGGTGCCAGCTAGAAGCCCACTCTTTACTGACTCAAATTTTGGAAAGAAGTGAAACCATTTCCTTCCTTAAAAAAGGCATTGCAGGGGCGTCTAATGGGCTGAGTTGGTAGAGCATGTGACTCTCCATCTGAAGGTTGTGAAGTCAAGCCCCACACTGGGCATGGAACCTACTTAAAAAATAAAATAAAATAATAAAAATGCATTGAAGGCACCATAACCTTTTATGCTTTAGAATAAAGACACTCTCCTACCTAGTCATCTTTTGATTCATGCACAAAGAGGTGGAGACCCACAACTGGAATGAGAATGTGCAGGTTTAAAGTTTTGACTCTGACTCTAGCTATGTAATTTCAGGAGAACTATATAGCCTCTCTGGGTCTTGGCCTCTCTGCAGTTGAGAGCATGTGAACTCAATCAGTGATTCTGGACCCCGGCTGCACAGTAGAATCACCTGGGGAGCTTCGAATTAATTCATTTAGAGTGGAGCCTGGGTGTGGCCATTTTAAAGAGCTCCTGGATGATTCTAATATGCAGCCAGGGCGGAGAGTCATTGGACTGAGTGATCTCTGGAGATCCTTCTAGTTCTGCCTTTCTGTGGTTCTGAGTAGCCAGAGGGCTTTGCTCTCGGCCCAGGCCACCTCCTCTGCACCTCCACAGGGTCTAAACATGCCTGCCACCTCTCTTGTGTTTGCTGCCTGCAGTTCCCCTGCACGTGTGGAATGCTTCCCTCAAGAACCATGATGCTGGATGGAAGCTACACTGAGTCTGAGGCCAACAGCCTGGCTGGGTACCCACGAAGCCATATTCTGACAGAAGAAGAAAGACAAGACAAAATAGTGGTCCATCTGGCTGTGAGCAATGAATCCAACTCCTCTAGGAAGAAGGGGCTTCTGAAGGGCCAGATGGGTCTTCGCATCTTCCAGAACACCCATGCCATTGACAAGTACTCCAGGTTGATATTTCCTGCCTCCTACATATTTTTCAACTTAATTTATTGGTCAGTGTTTTCCTAGAAGCCCTGAGACTATGCTTGGGAAAGGACATAGACATCTATGGGGCCTGGCCAGCCGTCTGCACATGGACCTGCTGACCACTCTTCCCTCACCAGACGGAGCAGCTGTCCCTGGACCACCAGATCCTGGACCACGATGGCAGTACCCCCTCTCAGAGGAGCCCAGGAGCCCTTTCCCTGACCTCATGGGTTTGCTCCTCATTAATGGTGTGTTCTGTGTCCTATTTCATGCCTCATTGGGACTGTCTTCTTCTGTTCTTGTGTGTAAACAAGAGCACAAGAGGCCCCCCCCCCCCTATAAAAATGACTCAAATGCCTCCTAGATATTCTGATACCCTAAGGAAGCCCAGGATTCAGTTGTGAAGGGACAAGGAAGAATAAAGGGCAAGCTTAGGGGCTTTATGGATAAGAGACAGGAAATAGGATTCAAAATAGGAATTAAAAAATATGTAAACCCGTACAACTAGATTAAGTGCCTACCTAGGAAGGAAAAAAAAAAAAAAAGCTCAGATCCCTGATTGGAAATGATTTGACCTGTGTGAGTCTGGCAACTCACAGGATTTTGCAATCCATTCAATCATTTGTTAAATATTGAGCCCCCACCTTGTGCCAGGTACTGTGAAAACGAATAGAAGTCTCTTTTCTCAGAGAACTTCTCTAAGCTTGCAGTCATTCTACATATGGCAGAGGGTACTTCTGCCCTTCTTTTTCTCCCAGCCCCCACTTAGCCCATGGATCTGTTCTGTTTGCTGGTGCTTTTACTTCTATGTCTGTCTAGAAAAGCACTTTCTGTCTCCTGTGAGGCCCTCCTAAGGCCAGCTTAATACTTCTTTCTTGGAATCTCCATTCAGGGCAAGTATAGTATTGGGGAGAAGGCCAGGGATTTGAGAATGGGTGATAACAGAACTTGGTCTTGGAGAGGAAGGAGCCATGAGTCTGCTGTGGAAATGTGTTCCACATGCCATCCTACCTCCCTTACTGGGCTTCTCCCCCAGCAGACAGATGACCTCAACAATTCCTGTGTCCACCCCTGCCCCCACCCCAAGGGTGGGCAGAACTGCCCCTGCACCCTGGAATGATTTCTCCTTTCCACAAGGAATTGACTTTCCTCTAATGTGGCTAAGCTCAAATTAGGAAAGCAATATGATTTATTGAAGCTATAGTAAGTTGTGAATGACCATTCCTCTTAATCCTATTTTAAGAGTTTTCTAGTTAACTCAAGTGAACCTCTAATTAGCAGTATTTATGGAAATATAAAGGATATGATTTTGAGAAGGGGGCCTTTTCTTTAAATCACAGCACTTGGAATCAGAGGGCTGATCTAGGGAGTAGGGAGGGAATGCCCAGCTCAGATTTCTTGCTTAATAAAAGAAGTTGTTCTGCTCTGTCCCCTACCTGCTGCCCCTTCTACCTTCCTGCTCAGGGTCTGAGCATCTAGTCCTTTGGTCACAAGTATACAAATGGTACAGGAAGAGAGTATAACCCTGCCTTAAATCAAGTGAGCTCTGGCCTGTGGAGTCTGCTTTGCAGCTCCTGACTTCCAGGGGCAGAGCTTTTTAGTTCCTGAAGATTAGAGCACAGGTAGGTACCAGAGCCTCCTGAAGTTTCAAGTCAAGGGCCCGTACATCCCTGATCTGCTCACTTCTCCCGCACCACAACCGCCATACAGTTGCCCTATGCATCTCCGCTTCTCTGGTCCTTCCTTTCGTCAGTTACCCACCCATTTCCTCTGTTTCCATACCCATTCCTGTGTGATCCTGGTCCCAGACACCCCTTTGCTTCGCCACTCCACTGTCCCTGTTGAGACCCAGACTCACCATCTCTGGCCACCAAGCCTACCAGTCCAGAGGCTGTGTGATCAGGACTGGGATTTGAGGAGTTAAACTCTCAACAGGACAGCCTCCAGGCAATAATATGGCATAGATTACCTTGGGCAACTGCGAGTTTGGGAGGTTCCCAAGACCACTCTCAGGTTTAATAATTCACTGGAAGGACTTTCAGAACTCAGAGGAACCATTATACTCACAGTTATGCTTGGATGTGGCAAAAGGATACAGATTAAAATCAGTGAAGGAAAGCAGCATTTAGGGCAGGGAGCAGGAGAGACCAGGCACAATTTTTAACTATTCTCTGTCAGTGAAATCATGCAGTTAGTGCTTATTTCTCTCAGCAATGATGTTTGACAATATGTACCAAGTATTGCCAACCAAGAAAATGTACCCAAGTCCATCAAGGTGTGCAGAGTTTTTATTAGGGGCTGGCCAATGTAGATACAGCTAACTGCCCACCTGGCTGACCTTAGTCTCGAACCTTTTCAGAGGTTGAGCTGACAACTCTTATCCTTAGGCCTCCATCATAAATCACACTGTTAGTATAGACTATCTGCCTTGACCCAAGGCTCCAAGGTAAAGACTCTCCTATTGGGCAGTATATCCCAAGGGCTTAGAAATTACCTCCAAGGAGCTGAGGCTGACCCAAACCCTTTCTTTTGTCAAGGCTAATCCTTTACTGCACAGCAATCTTTGTAAATTACTTATTGTTAATGCTGATCGTTGGGTTGCTATTATAGATTCATGCAACGAACATTTTAAACATGCCTTGCACTGGGATGTTCAAATTAAGAACAAGTGTTAGTTGCAGCTGTCAGAGAGGGTATACATATATAGAGGACAGTGTACACAAATATCTACAAGTTAAAAAGTGTTAAGTGCTACAGTAGTGGTTCAAAGTGTAATGGGAGGGAGTGCAGAGGAAGGAGAGAATGATTTCTACTGGGAACACTGGATCTCATGGACAAAACACCCCTGAGCTGCCCCTTGAAGGTTGGAGATTTGGAGATGAACATGCTAGACGCACATCGCACATGTAGAAAAGTACGTACTGGATCTGTGCCGTCCAATATGGTAGCCACTAGCCATGTAGCTATTTAAATTTAAGTTAAATTAAAAGTACGGTTCTTGCCACTGCACTAGGCACATTTTCCAAGTGCTCTTCTCAATTGCCGCACGTGGATAGTGCAGACCTAGAGAATGTTTCCGCAATCACAGAAAGTCCTGTTAGATAGTGCTGCTGTGGATGAAGGGGTCAGCCTGAGCAGGGGCATGAGAGCGGCAGGAAAGTCTAGGGCTGCACAGTGTAAGGTTTGTGGGACAAGTCATCTGTTTTTGCTGGGTCCTAGGCTATGGGAAGAGGAGGTGAAAGACCAGCACTTTCCACAACACTAGGGTCATGGCAGGCTTCCCCCATGCCAGTGCCAACAAGGACAGCGCCCCCTCCCTGGAGTTGTCTGGCCCAGAACCACTGGGTTTCCTAGCCTCATGGACAGATAAAAGATGAAACTATGAAAAACAAGGATTGTGGGATGATACAGGGCATCTGGACTTGTTTAGAAATTTTTAGTCTCTGTAGATTCTGGTAGGCCACAGTGCTACTCAAAGAATAATTATGTTGTCATTAAATAGATTGCTGTAGTTGTCTTATTTAATTCCAATACTGCTCTGCTTCTATGTTGTCTTCATAAATTGAGGCTCATATAACATGGTAGCCTGTTCACACTCAAAAAAATAAAGATGTATTTTAACTAGCTTACATATTTAACTGGAGTTAATAGTTAATAGTATGATGTTTACAATCATAAATAGCATTTTATCATGTAGAATCATAATATAATGACACCACTGTATTTAACACTGCCTTACTGCAGTGTAACACAGTCTGACTCTACTTAAGAAAAGTAGAGAATTAAAAGGAGGTAAAGAAGAGACAATAGGAGGGGTGTCTGGGTGACTCAGTTGATTAAACATCTGACTTTGGCTCAGGTCATGATCTCCTGGTTCACAAGTTCGAGCCCAGCGTCAGGCTCTGTGCTGCAAGCTTGGAGCCTGGAGCCTGCTTTGGATTCTGTGTCTCCCCCTCTCACTGCCCCTCCCCGCTTGTGCTCTGTCTCTCTCTCTCTCAAAAGTAAATAAACATTAACAAAAAAAAAGAAGAGACCATAGTAGGAGTAGAAAACAGGAACTAAGGAAATGTTGAGGACATGGAATGATTCACTCTAGAGGCAGGAAGACAGCAGTAAACATGATTGTTATCAGGGATGCTTGAATGATACTTTATTTCACTGACTCTAAGGCACCATTGATGTAAGATGCACCCGTATTTTATGTACCACCAAGAAAGAAAAAAATGCTATGAATTAAATTACAGCATGCTAGTGATAATGAGTCCTGATTTTGCCAATATTAAATTGTGAAAAAATATGCATGTTGGATAAATGAAATAGGTATTATACAAAAGCTGGTGATTGGACATACTTCTTTGACACCACAGAACCAACATTTATTATGCACTTGTCCTCAGGGGCTTGTGCCTGGGTGGGGGAATGGGTGATGGCAGATACAGAAATAAATGGGAAACACCTTTCAGTGATTAAGAAGTTTACATTGCAGTGGATGTGTTTCAATTTTTTTTTTAACATTTATTTATTTTTGAGACAGAGAGAGACAGAGCATGAACAGGGGAGGGGCAGAGAGAGAGGGAGACACAGAATCTGAAACGGGCTCCAGTCTCTGAGCTGTCAGCACAGAGCCCGATGCGGGGCTAGAACCCATGGAGTGTGAGATCATGACCTGAGCCGAAGTTGGACGCTTAACCGACCAAGCCACCCAGGCACCCCAGCAGTGGATGTGTTTCAAAGGAGAGAGAGAGATCATAGAATTTGAGGAATAAATGCTATTTGTGGTAAATTCTGAGCAATGGGTAGATATAATTTCAACTGGTAGAAAGGGAGAGTGGGGATGGTAACATGGCAGAAGGAAAGCTGAGGTGTGTTCAGGAGACAGTGGGCAGATACCCTACCAAATGTACAAAAGTCTCAGGTTCCCATCTTCCTAGTTCCATGACCCTGATATCAAGAGTCCTTTTAGGTTCATTCTGCTTAGAATAAACCTGGGGAAGAGATTTGTCTGGTCTGGTCTGGGCCACACATGTTGAAGATGATCAGAGCTCTGTGTTAGAAACTTAGAAGGTTTAGAAAATTTAGAAAGTTAGAACTCTTCAAAGACATTTTGATTTGGTTCAGTATTTTTGTAAACATCTGCAGAAGGGAGACCAGGAATTCAAAAAATGGAAAGCTGCGTAGTCCGAGGGAACCGATGAGGGGGAAAAATAACAATAAGTATAGTGGAGAAAGTTCACATTAAGTTCAGTTATATGTGAGAGCCACAGCCTGTGTGCTGACATTAACAGAGACTGGGAAGCCAGGGGAAAGAGCTATTCCCTGTGGAGGGTGAGGAGTTTGGTCCTGGCAGACAAGTGGAGATGTGAATGAAAGTTATAAACATTGGTCTGGGGCTGGAGGGAGGTAAGGCTCCCTCTTAGATGCTCAATGAAGCTCAAAGCTCAGTGAAGCTATCAGAGTGGGTGGAGCTCCAGGAGCAAAGCAGAAGAGAAGAAGTCTGCAGACAGGAGTTTAGGAGTTTATTTTTAGGTGGGAAGAGAAGGACTGATCAGAGAAGTAGGAGACCCAGAAGACTGTTGTGCCTTAGAAACTGGAAGAAGGGAGACTCTCAAACGGAGGAGGGTACAGCTGGGGGCAAATGCTAACCATAAAAATAGAGAAGGATAAACACTGTGATCAGACATAGCAAGATGGAGGCCAAAGGCTTGGTGGGATCAAGCACACAGGGAGATGTTAAAGAAGAGGGACCTAACTATAAGTGATTTAGGGAGGTAGAAGGGAAAAGGCTCAGAGAATTACTGCTATCTATTATGGAAAGAATATTTTAGACTCTTGTTTTCTTGGAGGATTTAAACATAACACAGTGGCATACCTGGCCTGAATGAGGATTGCGATCTCAGTGGTTGTTTTCCCAAATTATTATATTGGAATTTAGGGGACCAGTCTGAAAACAGTGTTTATAACCTAGTTGCCAGGTCTGTGGACCAGCAACAGTCTTGAGGACTTGTGCCATCCTCTGTTCCCACGTGCATGGGGTGGGTACCACCGGAGACAGTGTGGCCACTGCTTCAGCCATCAGGGAAGATAGAACAGATGTTAAACAACCTCATTATGTAAAGGGCCAGGTATTGAGTGCATTCTCTTGTGTTTGGCACTGTGGCGAGAGTGGATATATGGTTCCCAATTCAATTCTCACATAAGCCCCGCTGAGGTGGGAAGGATTGCCCCTACCACATACCCACCAAAGCGTGCTGTCTTCCATAATTGTGTTCAACACATTTAGGTAGGTGGACTTCGTGAAGCAATTATTATTTCCCATAGTATTTTCAGGAAAAAGGGCAATTTATTCCCTTACTTAGATGGGCAGAAATGAGGTTGGAGGGGCGCCTGGGTGGCGCAGTTGGTTAAGCGTCCGACTTCAGCCAGGTCACGATCTCGCGGTCCGTGAGTTCGAGCCCCGCGTCGGGCTCTGGGCTGATGGCTCAGAGCCTGGAGCCTGTTTCCGATTCTGTGTCTCCCTCTCTCTCTGCCCCTCCCCCGTTCATGCTCTGTCTCTCTCTGTCCCAAAAATAAATAAACGTTGAAAAAAAAATTAAAAAAAAAAAAAAAGAAATGAGGTTGGAAAGAGTAGAAAGAAAAGAAAACCCAAGCTGGTCTGGGTTGTGCTGAGACATGTGGGCATGGAGTCACCCCTACACCCAGGTAGAAACTTGGAGTCAACTAGGACACGTGGCTAGCTCTTGAGGCTGGAAGCTGGCCTGTGGGACCCACAGCTATTCAGGGCGGCCAGGGCAAAGCAGTATGGGTTTCCATCACTTACGCTGTTATAGGGAAGGAAAGTTTTCCTCGACCCTCTTAGAGTCCCTTGCTGAGTCTGCAAGTGAAACTGAAAAAGACAGAAAGACAGATTAATAGGAGAAAAGCATACATATTTATCTAATGTAAGTCTCATGTGACACCGAGGATTTGTAAAGAAATGAAGACCGAAAGAAATGGTTAAACCTGAGTGTTTTTGTGCTAGATTTGATGAAGTGTGAAGCGTCATGGGAAGATACGATAGGACAAAAGGTATGAGGTAAGTGTAGTAAATGGGGGTGGGGGGATTTAGCAAGCCTTGTTTCTTCAGATTCCTTCCTGTGTCCCTTCATCTTTGGAGATAAGGGTGCTCCTTTCCTGTGGGTGTGGAAAAGGCAGCTGTCACATAAAGGTTATGACTTGCTTCAGGGGACGGTCAGAAAGTCCTTCCTGCACAAGCCGTTTCTCAAATTCCTTACTCTTGAAATAGTCAATAAGTTATAGTTTGGGGGTTGCATGTCCCGTTTAAATGGTACAGACCAGCACGATTCATAACCCCACCACCATAGACCTCTTCCTTTTTCCTTTCTTGCAAAAGAACAGACAGCTGTGCTTGTGGGATTAACACTGGATTGGAAGCAGCTGATGCCCCCACCCCCACGCAGTCACTAGGAAATGTGGCAGGAGTTAAAATGGTTCCCACAAGGAAGGCTGCGTGCCCAACCCATCTGAGGGTGAACGTGCTGGCCGGTTTGCACAGAGACCCAAATCCCGTGCCAGGAGGCTGCATTGTCCCAGCCTGTCCCACCCCCGGAGTCACCAGTGAGCATCTGCACGGGTAGTATAAAAACATTCGCCATTAGCAGATTGGATAAAGCACTCAATCCTCACCCTCAGACCTTCAGATGTCATTACGAAATGACATTTGGGTCAGCCATTGAGAACATTAGGTTTGGGATTTATTTTAAAAGAGAAATTGAAAGATAAACCTCGGCTATAGTAAACCATTGTTTAATCTAAACCGACCAGGTTTGTGGTGGCAAAGCTCTTCTCCACCCTGTCCATTTAGCCCAAGGCATCCCCGATTCTACAGTGCACATGAGTAAACTGGGGGGCTTGTTAACATGCACACTTACATCCAGTAGGTGTGGGAGGGGACCCAGGATCTGCACTCCCAGCAAGCACCTGGGAGATGTTCCAGCTGCTGGTGTGCAGACCACGCTTCAAGTGGCAAGGCCTTAGAGACCCCTGCTCATCATTTAAAGTTGAGCTTAAATGTCACCTCCTCTCTGTTGATTTCCTGACATCCTCTTCCTTCCCAAAGCAGAATTTATTACTACCTTACTGGCATCCTCCAAGCATTTTATGCATTTGAGCATTAAGAAATTTCCTTTATGTTGTGATTATCCTCCTTAATCCATGCTTTCCTAGCTCTGGCTAATGGTAGTCACCTGGGGAGTTTAAAAAAAAGAAATCTCAGTGCCCAAGTCCCACTACCCCAAGAGTTTCTGATTTTATTATGGTCCCCACTCTTGTAGCCAGGGCAGAGGGGTATCAGAGCACCTGGCTCCGGGGGTCCCACACAGACCAGGCTCCGCCACTTGTCACCGACAAAACCCAAAGGCAGAGAAATGAGTGGTGGTGAAGAAGAAAGGAGTTTATTTCAGTGAGGCCAACACTGAGAAGACAGCAGACTAGAGTCTCAAAGACTGTCTCCAAAGTGCTGAAAATACTTCCAGGTTTAGGTGAGAAAATGTGGGACAAAGGTTGGTGGGAAAGTGCAGGAGGGCAGCGAAGATCAAATTGCACATTGTCCTGGAGTCAGTCGGAGTGGAGT